TACTATAGACTCCGGATAAGGTGTGTTTCTTCAGTTCCTCCTGCCATTATGACCAAGTTGCGAAAACAAGGTCAAATAAATTCGGAAAATTATTATTATTATTCCTCATTTTTTTCCTTAACACATAATAAGATTAGACCAACAAAGATCGTTATTACGAATCACGCATGATCAATCTGACCTAAATGGCGCTCTTTACTCAGACAAAGAAGAATCCTCACAAAAAAGGGAGGTATCACGTTATTTAAGATAAATTAAAAGAAGTAAAGACATACAGATCATATCACTTATGATAAAAATTATGTTTATTTTTAAATTGATAAGAAGTATGAGGAACAGGCCTAAAAACTCGAGCCCAAAACAGTAGTATAGTATCCATAGCAATTCGAGGTCGTGGCTCCGTTCGTAGGAGGATGACTCCGATAAGATAAATCAATTCCAACCACAGCCCTTGTGACGGCTTGCCACGACGTCGAGGAGGTTAATGCTAGATTATAGCTACAGCAGACGGTCCGTGGTATGTGAGTGAAAGGTTCGAATAATCAAAGTAAACTCTTGAAAATTAAGGCCCATACAGTGTTTCATTTATGCTAATGCTTTTGTCTCTACTTAAGTTGAGAAGAAATAAGAGGCACAGACCCAAAACCCCAAAGAGTTGTGATTCCTGTTTTTCGTTTGAGGTTACGTACCAAGAGGATCCCGGGAGGATAAAAGAACTCTCAACACAGTCTTCGTTACGCTTCGCCAGGACCTCAATAGAGTAAATGCTAAGTTCTAAACACACAGCAGACGGACTATATACATACATACATACATACATATATATATATATATATATATATTTGTGTGTGTATGTGCGTTTAAAGGACACGTGAACTGGGATGGGGTTCGGATAAGCAAAGTAAATTCCCGAAACAATGTGAATCCATTATTTCAGTTGAGGTGCTTTGAATACGGTTGAAAGCAAGTACAGGCTCAGTATAAAAGTGGTATATGGTATCTGCTTGACGTGAACGTCTTAAGACAGGAAAGACATTGTAGTTTATTTGCAATGAAGGGAAAAACTGCACCAGACAGTGAGCCCAAAGTGAGGAGAAATGGAGAAAATCACGTATTCTACGAAGGCGTATCTAATTTGTTTGCCGGGAGATCTGCATGTTCCCCAGTCTCTCCCCCCTTCCATTGCTCCGCTCCGGGCTAGAGTCGACATGGTACCGAATAGGCAGTAAACTGGCGTTTCAAGTAATACAATTGCCAAAACCTCCAGCTCGGATTGCCCAGCTCGCAACGGAGTCGGGAGACAAACAGGAGAACCAGAAGTAGACATCGTCAAAGCGACAAAACGATGCAATAAAATCCGGTGATATGCGAAAAGCTGAGACGAGGCGGTTGATACGGTAGGTTACCGTCTCTACGCGGAAACTGTCTGCAAAGGAAACCGACGGTTTCCCGACAGGTCTGTCTACTTGACAACTGCCTCGACGACTGAGGCCAGCAAGAGACTGTCACCAGATCGAAACTTGGCTGTACGAAAGGCTGCCGTCTCTGAATTGCCGGACGCGTCGACCTGACGGTCTGTCGACGTCAAAGTTGCGGCTACCACTGGCAGAGAAGAGGAGCAGGAAGACGAGCAAGAGGATGATGAACAAGAGGAGGAAGTGGAATTTATGATGGAGTTCGAGTAGGAGGAGGAGCAAGAAGAGGCGGAAGTAGCAGAAGTGGAGGAGGAGGAGGAAGAGGAGGAGGAAGAGGAGGAGGAGGAGGAGGAGGAAAGAAACGAGGACGAAGAGGAGCAATAGACAGTTGCTTCGATCATTCTGAGACGGGGATCAGCGCAAACAAGTGACTTGGCTGATGCCTTCGGCTGGGCATCCTCGACCGGCTTCACGGGCCATGGTACCACTTCGGCCTGCGAACCACTCCGTCTGGAGCCGGACTGGGCTTGGCCGACCGGCGGTCGGTTCGACTGACCGACCGGTGGCGAATGTGCCACTTTTCGCGGCCGGACCGATCGAGTCATTGTGTCGGCACTGGGACTGGCGGTTGCCGGGGCGACGGTGGCTGTACTGGCGGCATGTGTGAAAACGAGCAGACGGCAGTACTGGCTGAGGAGGGGGCTGTCGGAGCGGGGATCGAAGTTGAGTCGAAACGCCGAAGGGCTGGTTGCCATGTTGACCAGAGCTCCGCCGCCAGACCCAGTTGCTGAGACGTCGCCGACGAGGTCGCGCAGCAACGGAGAGGCTAGGGTGGCAGCAAGCAGGGAAGTGGGTGTCGGCGGACAAGATCGTCTCTCCTCCTCCTCCTCCTCATCTTCCTCCTTTTCCTCCTTTTTCTTCTGCTTCTCCTCCTGCTCTTCCTTCCCCTTAATCTTCTTCTCGTTCTCCTCTCCTCTGCTCTTGTGGCGTCCTCCCGTCGAGGTGGAAGGTTGCAGAGGACAGGTTGACGAGGACGATCTGTTGCGCGGTTCATTCGCCAGAGCGGCCAGCGTCAGGCGACCCGACGAGGAGAGATGCTCAAGCGATGGTAGAGCCGTCGTCAGGAGGCCAGTGCGTCCGACGGTCGCGGTGCCTGGTCCGGGTCTGGGACAAGAAGCCGGAATGCACAGGCTGGTCGGTCTCACGCCACCGGATGTCCGTCGTGAGGCGGTTAGGGCGTTGCGAGGCTGGGCGGTGGGCTCACGAACTTCCGGAGAGTGATGCTCGACGCGATGCCGTCGCGTCTCCAACATCGAGACGGACATGAGCTGCGATGGATCAAGACCATGCGATGGCGGCGCAGCCGGGCCTGAACGACCCGCGACTGAAGGTAGCCCCGAGGCCGTCAGATGCGGTGGGCTGGAGGGATTGAAGTCGGACAACTCTCGAGCGGACAACACGAGACTGCTGCGTTGCCGGAGTCTGTCGCCAAGGCGATCGGGCAGATTTGACGGCTTGTAGGGCAGCAGGCGTGACCACCAACTGTCGGCAGCAACAACCGCCTCGTTTGGAGGAGTCGTGGCCGACTGGCAAGTGGA